AAATTAAAATTAATACCTGCGTAGAGGGATGGATAATTGTGTCGGAATTTAGTTTATCGATGTCGACGGACTAAATGACACTCGTACTTGACGACAAACAGTCAGAACCCATGCCAAAAGTCTATGTGCCGTTAATAGGGACCCCGATTCCACTGTATGATTTAAAACTGGGTGCCTAGTTGCTTTTTGTTATGTGCTGTGTTGATATATTTCTTCATAATTACTATGTAATATTAAAAATGTCAATATAAATATTTGACGGCGAAAATAGCCAAATTAGTTGAGCTAGTTTGGCTGATAAATAGCTAAAAACACGTGAATCCTATTCTATCGCGGGGGTGGGACATGTATGGCTCATAGCTCACGATCTCTCCAGACAAAAAATAAATTAAAAAGTAGTATTCCAACTTATCTTTTAAAACATTCTGGATCATATCAAAATGGTAAATATATCGGAAATATCGGCCTTAATCTAACCGATACCGATACATGGCCGATACCGAAAAAATGGCCGATATTGCCGATACCCGATACCGATACATCTCTAACACATATTACATTCCGATGTCCGCCATCTTGGTTCGCATACTTCGGGAGCCCCCATTTGACATTTTTTTAAACATGTTTGTTTGATTCATAATGGCGCTTTATGTCGTATTGTTTTATAACTTGAATAGTTCGTCGGCAAAGTGGACAAATCGCTGAAGTGTGATTCTTTTCAATACAGAAATACGAACGATGCCATTTATCGGAGTAACACTGTTTTCAGAGTCTTGTATATTATTTGACATCTCTAACCTTTCTTAAACGGCTGATAACTAAATTATTGCCCTATGTAATCCTAATACGGTACGTATAATTGAGATACCGGCATAATCGAATTGTTACCATGAACACGAGCTCAAACTGTGATAATGACATAACAATTGGCGGTTTTTAGATTGTAAAAAGGTAGAAACAAAATCTATTTCATTGTTTCACTTAAGCTCGGCGGGCCATTTTAAATCGTTACGCGGGCCGGAGTTGGCCCGCGGGCCGCGGTTTGAGAACCCCTGGTCTAGAGTCTTGTCACTGTCAGATGTGTGAAAGCGCCTCATTCCAAAAAAAGGAGCGTAAAAGTGATCGAAGCAGGTATCAAAACTACTAAGCTACGAGATACGCGGAAATGTGCTTCATGAAAAAAATACATCAGATTAAAAACTCTAAAGTCAACATGTTTGACCATTTTATTCCAAAACTAAAACTAATTTTTGACCAAAAGTATTTAGTTGATTTATTGAATGAAATTATTTATTTATATCATGATTATCTATTTTGTTTATTCGTTTTCTTTGTAGAAGTTCTTTAATAATTTAATTCTGTTGTTTAAAACATTGCTTATAAGCTATAATGCTGCACGTTTTAGTTTTTTCAATATTTTGAAACCAAATTAGCAACTTCTTGGTAGTATATATTGCAAAGTGAGAAAGTAGACTGGCAAAATAAGTGAATGCAGTGGCGGCGCGTCAATAGGGCCAACCGGGGCAATGCCCCGGTTGTTTTTTCGGTATAATAAAAAATATTCGAAAAATACCTCAATATCGGTTGCACAGACTGTCTACACTAGCCATATTCTCCCGACATGGTTCATTTTTCGCTCGCAAAGCCTTCGCCGAACGTCGACGGGGCGACGCCGATTTTGCCCCGGTTGCTCATTGTATATCGTATTCTCTCTTTTATCTTTCACTCGCCGCGTTTGTCTCGTTTGTTTTCTGTTTCTTTTACTAAATCATCGGGGCCGATCGGGCTAGCCCCGAAATTATGACGACACAATGCCGACGTTTCTTACAACAACGTGTTGACATATTCACGCATTCCTTCTCGTTCGTTGGTTGCTTGAAGAGTTGATAGTTTCCTCGCCTTCGTTTTTGTCGCTTGTTTCGCTATTTGAATCAGTTAGAGACTTTTAGTCCATTTGCTTTCGATTTTCCACATTCCTTTTGAGCTCCTCACTTCTTTCCGGCTTCGCATTTCTTAGCCTTAGACCTCATAATGAATAAGGTTGATGCACTACTTCGCACTCCGTTTTCGCAGCTGCCGCTGGAACAAAAATTAGAGGTACAACGTCTTGGTTCTTATCAACCAAAAAATTGTTCACTGGAACAATCCCATGACGGAGGAAAGCGTCGGCGTACATTCTGCGCAGAAACTTGGTATAAAAAACACGAATGGTTGTGTTACAGCGAGGACAAAAATGCACTTTTTTGTTTTTATTTCCTACTTTTTGCTACCGCCCGTGACTCACGTTGGTGTAAATTTGGTTTTAGAGATCTTAAACATCTTGCCGAGCGTGCCAGGGATCATCAATCTTCTATGGAGCATCTGGACAATGCAGTAAAATACCGAACATTCGGAAATGTTAATATTGCAGCACAGTTGGATGAAGGACGCGCGGTTTCTATTCGTCGGCACAACCAAAACGTCGAGAAAAACCGCCATGTTCTCGGTCGATTGATAGATGCTTTGAAGTTCATTGGTTGCAACGAGCTGTCCCTCCGTGGGCACGATGAACGGGCTGGCTCTTCTAATAGAGGGGTATTTTTGGATATGGTGGAATACACCGCATCCCTAGATACAGTATTGAGAGATCATCTTGATGCCGCAACTGTTTCGAAAGGGACATCTAAGGATATCCAAAATGATTTGCTCGACTCAATGTATAAAATTTATTTACAACATTTGGCTCTGGAAATTGAGAATTGCCAGTTCCTTTCGATTCAGTCTGACGAGACAACTGACATCACGTGCGTTTCCCAACTGGCTGTGATTTTTCGGTTTGTGAAAGATGGTAAACCTACCGAGAGATTTCACAGCTTCGTACCAATCGTTGATCGCACGGCTTGCGGGATATCGGCTGTACTGAAAGAAGTGATACAGCCTTACAACGCGAAGTCAAAATTGATAGCTCAAACTTATGACGGCGCGGCAGTCATGAGTGGGTCGAAACATGGTGTTCAAGTTTATATAAAAGAAGATTTTCCTCATGCGCATTTTTTACATTGTTATGCACACCAAGTTAACTTCGTTATTAAAAATATGTGTCTTGATACCACTCTCGTCCGTATATTTTTTGCAAATGTTTCGGGGTTTTCCTCATTTTTTCCGTTTCGCCGAAGCGCTCTGACCTCCTTCACCAGATATGTAGCCGCCGTCTCCCAGCTTGTGCACCAACACGTTGAAACTTCCAATCACGCGTGGTGCAGGGCGTGTCCGAAATTAGGTCTGAGCTCATTGAGTGTTTCAATGGCATTCAGAGCTCTCTGGTTTGGGACGAACGCTCTGTGAGGGAGGCGGCAGGTCTAAAGCGTCTGCTAGAAGATGGTGAGTTTTCATTTTTTCTCGCTTTTTTCTCCACAATATGGGTTCCTCATAGATAACACTCTAGTAACTACCTTTGCGGCGTCTGCAAAATTTCTCGACATCATTTTGACGACGCCTAGTTCTTGCGCCGACGCAGAGCGAACATTCAGCACGCTGAAGCGTATTAAAACGTATCTCAGAAACACAATGAAGCAAGATAGATTAAATTCCTTGGCTGTTTTATCCATTCACAGAGACGTTATTTCTGGGATGCATGACTTTAATCAGCGCGTTATTGAGCATTTTGCTTCCAAGAAACCGCGGCGTGTTGCATATATGTTCAAGCAGTAGAAGTCTAGCAGCATATATATCTATGAGTGAGGGACGCATGTCCTTATCTTTGCATAACTTTCCTTTCTTCATAGTAACGTTTTAAACCTTATTTTAGGTTTTGTCTGCTTTCCCGAACTTTCTGTTAATATGTCATTGTATTTATCTGGGTAAATATTGCCTTTCCTTTTGAAAGAGGTTTAAAAATAAACTATGTCTATATTTATTAATCCCTTGACTTGGGCCGGTTTTAAAGACACTTTCTTATCGTTAAAAATTGTCGCTTTTGCCGATTGGTTGTTACCGATGGAATGGTTTTTATACTCATAAAATGATGGGAGAACTTACAGCGCTCATCCTGTCCCCGTAGATGGGGGTGACTTGGTCCCGCAGTAGATTGACCCGGTTGTCAAAATGACCACGCGCCGCCACTGAGTGAATGTTTGTATAGCTTTAACGTATGCAATTAGTTATGCAGTTAATTGTTTTGGATGCATGGATGGTGAAAGACGCCGTAGCTGACAATTTGCTACGTTGGTCTACGGCGGCAAAGAGTTCAGCAAACCTCTTGCACATAATCATTCCCCACTTGCATTCGAACTTGCAGGCAATCCGAGGTTCGGTGAAGAACTTATTCCAAACGCTTTTCACGATGCGCTAGTAGTCGAGTCGGGCATTAAATAAATCATCTGAAAAAAAACACACTAAGACCAGCATCAAATAAAAAAATTCCGTTTTGGTATTTGAAAACATTTGTATATTAAGTTCAATAAAATTATTACATACTAGATATTAAATTAATACAATCCGTAACACATACCAAGTGTGAAGATTACACAGGAAGTCGTAACGGTATTTTTGTCGTGTTCGCTGTCACACAAAAATATTTTCATTCCGCAACTTGCAACAGTATTGCATTGACGTGCATAAATATCCGTTTAGTTTACCTTAACCAGTGAAGCATCTTCCTAACGCTAACAAAAATATAGGTAGGAAATGTGTTCCCTGTCACCAAAAAATATCTTCAGACTTTCAATGTAAATGTTATATTACATAAACCAGTTACGTTAAGTTGAGTTAACGTCGAACCGAGGACGTGTCGAAGACCGTGAGGAAATCGATAGAGATGTAACCGGTTTGTCGGGAATCGGCCGCATAGTTGTTTATCCGTATAGTGTGGAGACAAAGCGCGGACACCTTTCCTATTACTTTACCTGAGCCGGAGGAACGATTGATCATCAATTCATTGCATACAATTGTCTGTTATTCCGGTGGGGTTCGAAGTTTACTGACAGCGTATACTTGGAAATAATTTTTTATATTTCATTTTAAATATTTTAGATATAGTTATGTTTATCACAAGATTATTTTTCTTTGTCGGAATTATTCATGGTTTATCGCAAGCGAAAAAAGCTCCAGGCAAGTATAAATTTTTACCTCATATGACCTAGAAATTGCGCCTAACTATATTTTCCAAATAGATATAACGTTAATAATGCAAAAAATATTTTGTAAGGCTTATACATCAGATTGTTTTGTTCTGACGACTTTAGTTGGGCGTTGGGCCAAACAATATTTGTTTTGGAATGACCGCCTGTTTTTTAAATGGTTTGTAGAACAAAAAGCGTTAGCTTATTTGGTTATTTAATCAATAGTATGTATATATAGTGACCAAACGAGTGATATATATACACTTCTTAGAACGTCATTCAATGCAAACCGGAAATATAGATAGTGACTTACATTGCGCTTATTATATGTGGAGCACAGTCATGCGTATAGTTGAAATACAGAGCAAATTGACTCCAAAATTTTGAATATGCATCGTCAACAACGTACATCGAAATCACTATAGTTGAGCGTCTGTAATCATATATATATAGTATTCAGATCCGTGAAGATTTTAGTGTTATTTTGTTAAAATTAGTTCTATGTCTTCACCAATACTGTAATCCCGCGTAGTTCTCATTCTATATATTTTGCCAGAATCGGCATATTTTTGTCCTCAAAGAGAGGGAATTACAATAGAATTATCGCCTTGAACAAACATTATTTGTCTACTATCACTATACGTTCATCAACAGACCTGGAACATGTTTTATTCAAGTTTATTCGAACATAGACTCGCGTCATTTGAAAAAAAAGGCCGCCGTGGAATTAAAAATATCATAAAACGTATAAAGTATTTTGTATTCAGATGGAATTTGTGTCACCAAATTGCTGAAAGGAAAACTCGTATCAGTTGGAGATTGTCAGGTATTAGAGATTATATGTAAAGGTTAAAAATTAATTGAATGAAATTAACTGATTAAAGCGATAGCTCTATTTTATGTTTTAGGGTAGATATCGCAGAACGGAAAAACCACAAAATGTGGACCATTTGTGAAAGAAATATTAAAATGAATAGGACAGACATTCTATAGGCATAATATATTTTACACAAATTTTCACCATTATTTATTTTTCTAACATTCATTATTTTTTATTAAGAAAAACGATGGATCTGGTGAGTGACAACTTGGAGCTTGTTGAGCTTTTAAAATGTTATTTTGACCTTTTGTTATTTGGCTCGAAAATGTTATTCTTATCACATGTTGTCTGTATAGTTTTTCCATAGAATTGTTTGATTACATTATATACATTACGTCTCTAGATGTCATTATTTGGCGCTATAAAAGTATGTGTACCAACATGGAGGTAACTAATTTTTTTCGCCTACTTCACATCAAATTGTGTGAAAGGACGGAAGTCTATTGGCAAGGGTTATATTATTAATTTTGCTAACACAGACGCTCCACAAACTCGTAATAGAACTAAAATAAGGAAAATGGGAATGAAATGATGGCTAAACCCTAACCTGGTATAAACACACTACGGGAGTACCCAATATTTATTACTAGTCCAAAAATAAAAGCTCACTACGGACGTCAATTTATTTTATTTTTTAATTCAGACATTGTCAACGTGATTAAACAGGATCTGATAAAGAAAACCCTCGGTAAGGATTTTTAAATTTTGCCGCTTAGTCTATATCATTGTTCTTTTGGTATTATTCAATAATGAAAGAGTCTTTCGATCAACAAAAACTATTTATTTAATTATCTGTTGCTCATATATTTTGCAATTTAAATTAGAAACGTCGTAAAAATTTCATATCGAATACTTGTGGCGATATTCAAAGTATTTGTACACTTGTTTAAGCAGTGAAATTCTAGATATTCAAGATGCAAAGAGCGCATGCTAAGAATTAAATTACGCAGTTTTAAAACAAAAGGAATCTAAGAATCATGTTGATAATCTGGCATATATACAATGACTATAAAAATGATTATAACGAATTGTAATAATGTTGTCATTCTGTATTTGTGCATTAGAACAGTTAGATTATTCTTTGCATTATGGTTAGTGATGCATTATGTTGTTCAGAACCTACTTGCAAAGGAAAATGGACTGAGTGGTTCAATCGAGACCATCCGTCTGGTTCAGGTGATTATGAGGACTTACAACAAATCATCATGTGAGTCTTCTTTAGTTACTTTGATTGATTGGGCTAATTGGATGCATCGCTTATCCAAATTAAATATCCAAGTTGTCTACATTGTCATTGGGAAAAGAATTTTTTGTACTGTATTGAGCTATCAGATTTTTTTAGTTTGCAAAATTGTTCCCGGAAACATTAACTTTTTTGTCATTTCATATTTACTCTTAGCTAGCTATGCTGCATTGTTCAACCAAATTAAAAATCTGGGCAATTGCCTAAATATTGAAATATTTATTTAGCAGGAAAGATATTCAACGCGCATCATATTTTTATTTAAAGAACGTACCGATAAAGCTAATTGAATGCATTGCTCTCTTGATTAAACTTCTATTTTCATGCTTTTTCGAGTTTCCAACTTTTGTTCGATTTTCCCTTTTTTATTTAACTTTTTAATTTTATTCAATTCTAATTCAGAGAAAGCAAAGGTGGAACATTGTATTATATATGCTCCAATCCTACTGTTGTTCACGCAAGGGCTCTGAATCCAGAACGACCATGGCAATATGCTAATGAAAATGTTCATATCTCTACACAGATAGGAATATACTGCAAAAACAGAGAACAGACGGATGGATATTGCGAAGATTACAAAGTTAGATTCTGTTGCGAGTAATGTGAATCCTCCCACCGTATATTGTTGTTTGTGAATTTAATCAATTATTCCAAAATTTTGTGTTTTTTGTTTCAAAACAAGAATACAGTTAATACGTTACAATGTGATCTAAATGCTGAAGAAATGTTTTTCAAAGCAGAGTGCGAAAAAACTTTGACCGAAAACTATATACATATTTTTTTCTTTTTCAAAACGGAACTCAAACTCATTCAAATTATTACTTAAATGTAATTACGTGCAAATGTATATATTTATTTCTAAAGTTCAATGCCCTGCTTAATTTGAAGGATGTATGTTTTGTTGACACCAATATATGATCTCATTTATAAGACACCAACCATTTGGCGTTTGAGGTCCACCACCATTTTTGCTATTGTTAGAAAACCTTAATTTGTAACAAATTAACAGATAAATTTGAGTATTTGAAATCAACAATAAAAAATGGGTCGACGTATGAGATATTATAAATTCGATCACATTCGAATATTGGCTTTCGCCATCAGATGAAACGAAATTGAATAATTTGCTTGTGATTATTAACAATGAAAATACATGATTTATCTTGTTTTACATGGATTTCATCATGTGATTTATTTTGCAATGATTGAGCCGGAGCAAAATCCCGCTACGTAAAAACGAATGGTTTTTAAGATGAAAAAAAGAGAGGGTCGATGTTAACGAGTAATGTGGAATGTGTACGATCATTTTTAAAGAGATTCGAAAAAAAATTAATATTAGTTAACTTTGTTCATCTGTCAACAACAAAAAGTTAGTTACTTGTGTTTGTTTATGTGACTTAGTTGAATTGTAATATTTATATCGAATGTAATAAAATATATAGAGGCATTCTGTTGGTCCTTTATTGTTATATCAAATTACCAGTAATCCTAGTTCGAGCACGTTAACCTATATCATTTTTTTTATATCTTGGAGTCAGATTAATATCTTGAACTATTACTAGTTAGTTGACAGAAGTTTGGACGTTTAAGTGATGATACCGACGTGATTTGAACACGCAACCTTTTAAAGGGTTGACCCTGCCAGGGCTAAAATGTCTCTGGACGAGGAATCCAACAGTAATGAATAATTTAAAAAGATTCCGCTTGATATTTTCGTCCCCGACTCACGTGAAAAATTGAAAAAAAAAAAATTTGGGCCAATTACAAAATAAGAGACCAGACAAAATTTTTAAACAGCTTTATAGATAATTATAGAACAGAAATCCAGATTTTGATGAAGAAAGTGTTTGTAGCATTATTACTTGCTCACATAGCTAACGTAGTATATTCGGTGCTTCAGAAGTATGTGTAGTGTGTAACAATATGGAGGTAACTAATTTTGTTCGCCTACTTTACATCAAGTTCATAACTTTCATAATAAATTTGGCGAAAATGCAGTTAAATGTAATGCTCCTTGCAGTTTTTCTGAAAGCAAGTAAAATTTCATTGCATTTGGAAAGACCTAATTCTGATAAACAAGAAAGTCTAAATCATCCATAAATAACCTTTTCTTCAGCATTCAGGTTGAAAATGTTATACTCATCAAATATTGAAGTACACAAGCAAAAGTTCTATTACTATATTGCACTCCAATTTGATTCCTAACACAGTGATTTTCAACCGGTGTTCCGTGGAACCCTGGTGTTTCGCGAAAAATTGCTTTTTTGAAGTTTTATGACGTCATAACTGAAAATTAACCAGCCGATAAACTTATACAAATTACACAAGGCCGGGTTGAGATTAAAATTTTCTGGTATACTTCCAGGAACTGAGGCCTGAGGATTGAGGCCTCCAGGAAATTTCCAATTTTTGCTAAAAAGCGCTTTTAATCTTGCTACCATAAAACTACCTATCCTTGCGAAATGATTTTTTTGAGCATGATCGACCAAGGCTGGACAAAATAATCGATTAGCGAATGGAAAATTAAAATATTCGAATGGCATTTTACTATTCGTATATCTGAAACCACGCGACCTGTACCGATCTGCTTGGGCACAAAACTCGCGCGCAGGTAAATCAATCGCTTGGGCGCGAGAATTCACCCTCTGATTTTGCTGTTATTTTGCAAAAAGTGCGCCAACAACATTTTGTAAAAGTAGAAACTTCAATCCAAATAAGCTATTTAGAATACCGTTCTTGGACCTAAAAGATGGTATTAACCATTCCATGCATGACCAGGAAATAAAAATCATTGTCGGAAATTAAGACTTACAAGGACGATTTCAATACATGGTGAAAACGGCTTTTTTAAATTCGAGTTATATAAATAGCATCGATTTGAAAATAGCGAGTCAGAGTTTTGAAAATCCGGTATAAAAAAACTCGTAACAAGATAAAAAAAATGACATATTCTGATCAAATAATGTTTCAAAAATGTGAACATTATACTCGACCATGTATTCATCCATTCATTATATTATATTTCATCCATTATACCATGTAGTCATCATTGACTAACTTGAAGCTTTTTTTGCAGTAGTAATAAGGGCATCAAAATCATCAAGTGAAGTGTTGAATTTGCAAGTTCCGTAAATGAAATTGTGAATTTTTTGGTAACGATTTTAGCTATGATAATGGTCGTGGTATTGTTTTCTTGAAAAAAAAAACGTTGAAACTTGAAGTGACTAATTATAATCATCGTCTTCCCTTCTACTAGGCACAAAAGCACTTGGGCACAAAATTTTTTACATTTTTTTTGCTATCGTGTCACGTATGTAAAATATCGTTCAAGATGTGCTCTTTATCGTCATTTTGCCTAACTGCCATGTAGAAATTCCCTTATTTCAGATTTAAAATCAAAATTCAAGATTCACGAAAGCATAGCTTTGCACTGCAAACGACGATAAGCTAGATTAAACCCAACGCAAAAGATAAAAATCAGAATAAAATTAATTTAAGCTTTGAAATCACTCCCTAATTAATGATTGTTGTTGTCGTTAGAAGGATATTACTTCAATTTATTCAAACATTTTTGTGGGCTCGATGAGATTTTTTTTTGTGCGATAGCGTCATCAAATTAAAGATTGCGCACCTTGTGACGATGACTCGTCTAGTGCTAGTGGTCATGCAAAGTCGGGAAGACTACGGTATCGGTAGTCTATTGTAAATGATTGGATGCCCATACTGCTTTGTTTGGGCCTTCGTGTTTATATCTTTGAACATTGCTCTCTTGTCTAATATCTTAGTTGGATTATTATCCTTATCATCGAAGCGCGATCCCCACTTGCAATTGATTCACTCTTACGCAGTATATTTATTTGGGGCTAATTTCCATAGCGAAGGAAACATTGGAATAGAATTATAAATCCTACGTAACCAAGATTTCGCACACAATTACTAACTTATCGTAGTCTACATTGAATATATAAATCTTTATAAAAAATTATTAAATGGAAATCAAATATCGCGAGTGAAAATTAATTTGGTTGCTTCCTTTTGCTGAGGGTGCAAATATTCTGAGGGAAGTCCACGGCAGTCACATAATTTTTTAAAACTTTTATTATTTTTTGGTTTGCAATAATAAAAAAAATTGAAATGCGATACGAACAAAAAGAAACTACACAAAAATCCATTCTCATGAATCCGTTCAATAGTTACACATTAATGTGCATTCAGCGATTACGTTGCAGATGTTGTCTGACATAAATTTGCCTAGTATCAAACGCATATAACCTCATTTTGTGCCTAACAGACATGCGTACAATTATGCGAACATTATCCAGACATATCTCGTGGTTCTCAACCCTTGGCAAGTCCGGTTTATTTAAGTGTATTTTTCATATTTAACAGTGTGAAACAAGTTTGCTGTGCTGATGAAAATACATAATTAACAAAAGTATTTTCGATAATAACTCTGTATAATATTATAACAAACACAGAAAAATAGGTATTTTTCTGAAATAACAATAAATGTCCAAACGCGTATATTGACCAGAAAATATATATTGAATAATAAGGCAAATGTAGATCGGAAAGTGTCGAAGAAGGAACTCGCTAGTCTCGATTTCAATATAAATTTTTGCCATACTGTAGGAAGGTTTGCTAAACTTGTTTGTGTAATGTTCAGGCAACACATTAAAATTCTATACAGACGCAACTGAGCAGCTTCATGTATGGGCCGAACAAAATGTACTGAACTAAGCGTCAAACGGAAGCAATAAACTTGACGAGAGGAAATGACATTCAATTGCTTTGAAAACGAGCTTGACTTCTATACCACAAATTATCGGAATTGACTCAGCAATACATAAAATGCAGTATTATCATTCGTTCTGCATCTATATTTGAACTAGATGAAAACAATTTTATGATTAATATAATATTATAATATAATTATAATTGATTGAGGTATATTATTGAGCACCATTCATCCTGCAGTCGCGGCCTATATTGACCTGTCTCTTTTCAAGCATCAGACATGCCGAAAAGTAGTCTTTTTTAGTATCCTAACCTTCAAGAAAGGCGTAATTAATCGACTTCTTTTAACAAAGACGTTCCTTCATCCACATCTAGACTTTTATCGGGGGTTGTATCATTCATTTGAGTCGATGTTTTCACAAGGATGAGTTTTTTATATGTGAAACACAATACAATCAGTGACACAAGCAATAAAAAAAGTACTATGCCACTTAGAATAGGCAAACGTTCAATAGTTACCATTGAGGTTGACAACAGTGGGCCAACGATCCTCCCCGCGCCAGCGAACATTAATAATGCTCCCTGATTAAAACTTTGTGTTTCGATGGAAGTTATCTTCGAATAAAGTGAAATTATGGAAATATTCATAAGCGGAAATGATATTGTCAAAATAATCCAATCAGTCCAAAATACTGGCAAAAGCCATTTAACGTGGCCAACGGCTTCTTGAAGAAATAAGACGGTAGAGTAGATGTTGAGGATAAGATAAGAAACTATTGCGCCTAAACAACCAATCAGCAAAATGACCCTGTCGGTGACTTTTCGGTTAGCAGTACCAATTACAGCATATGATATACAAACTGTAACAGCACCAGCGCAAAACATAATACTATTGCTAACTCCTCCCCAGCCGAAAAAGAGCAAACTCATTGGTGTTGTTGCTGATTCGAAACATGTGACGGTCATCCATGCGTTAAAGTTTAGCAAAAGGCAAACAAGAACTTCTTTTCGAAAAAATTCGCCCTGAAAACTTTTTGGGGGTTGATTTGCCGACGTCATAGTTTTAAGAACAACAGTTTTCTGCAAATTGTCTCCATGCTCCTGTACGGGGTCATTAATGTTTATTTTTCCATTCGAATAGTCTTCAGAAACATCCCTGAATAGGGCTAACACAAACAATGTGTGTAATACCCACATAATGGCCATCAGAAGTCCAGGAGAGCTAAATTGATCCGCAGGAAACGGACCGAGTTTGAAATTTATTTGACTCGATATCAAATTAAAACCAGGCCCAATAATGACACCTATTTCCCGCATGAATACGACTAACGTTATACCTGCGGTTCTCTGTTTTGTCGTTGTCGTCTTTGCGATCATGCCGAGGTACGCCGAGCTGGCTCCAGTTCCAAGTCCAGCTATAAGTCTTGCAAACAATAATATCCGATAATCTCTGCCTACAAAGTAGAGAAAATTCCCCACAATCCCAAATAAACAGCTAACAATGGCGCACAGTTTATTCGCGTTAGTTTTATCAGCTATTCGTCCATATATTGGTGACGATATTAGTCCAGCAAAACTAGAAGCAGAGATAGTAGTTCCAAAAATAC